CGCATTGTAACCATTGTCAATTGCTCGTTCATTAAACATTAGAATTCCAACAATGGCAAAAACAATTGTTCCGAGCTAAAAAATGAACGGCCCATCAGCCCATGAAAGTTGCACTCAAGATTTCAAAATATTACAGCGATAAGAAAAAAAAAATGAGATTTGAAAATTCTAGTCCCTCTGAATCAAACAAACGAAGGCGAAAATAAGAGAGAAACATAAAAGCATAAAAAGAAGAGAGCACGATATTTAATCGTCAAGGTATGTCATCACTTTTAATTATTAGTTTCTATGTTATTAAGAATTGCTAGTCGATTTTGAAATTAACGGATTCTATGAATAAAATGATTACGAGTATAAGGTTAGAGCTACATCCCAAAACAATAATTCACCCAACCAAGCCCTCAGAGCGATATACCCTTATAACGTGTTTCGTTCTCATTTCATATGATGAGGTAGACCATGACTCTGAATCTGAGAAACACTCCATTCAAACCTACACAAGAATGAGATCATAAGGATTTGATATTTAATAATAAATCATTGCACAAGAAATTAAACAATCATACAAATAAGACGATGGTTTAATCATAAGAAATAAAAAAAAAATTACATGAAAAATGGTCGTTTTGGAGGTTGAATTCAATAGCTAGGGTTAGAGGGTTATTTATATAAAGGGTTTTACCTCAACAAAACAAATGTACCTATACACAAGTCCAGTTTAGCCCGGAAGTAAGATTTGGGTGTATGGTTTGTTAGCTTCGATGTTATTAAGAGTTGAATTGCTAATCAATTTTATTAGATTATCAAAATTAACGGATCTTGTGAATGAATCGATTACAATTTCGAGTTCCTGAAATTTGTTGTTTGGTTAATTTCGTGAAATCGCAAATGAATTGTGTTCAATTCCTGTGCATCGACTGTAATAATTTATAATTCGATTTCTCATATATAATCAATTGAAGATTTAATGGTATAAGATTCAATTTCTCATAATCACGAGAACTT